GAAAATGTTGAGGCAGACGCCTTAGCTAATCTCGCATCTGCGACAGACGTGATAAATAACGAAAATGCTTCTGTGATTCATTTGTTTCATTCAGTATTAGATCATGACAAAAATGAGGTAAATTTCAATAACTTAACTTGGGATTGGAGGAACGAAATTGTCGCTTTTTTTGCAGTATGGAACTGTCCCTGAAGACAAGAAAAAGGCTCACGCGCTTCGTAAAAAGGCTGCTCAGTACTGCTTAAAGCAAGGCAACCTTTATCGGAAAATGTTCGGTGGTCCATTAGCGAGATGTCTCGTGCCTTCTCAAATGGAATATGTAATGAGAGAGATACATGAAGGGCATTGTGGAAATCACGCAGGAGGAAGGTCACTGGTAAGAACCATGATTAGAGCAGGCTATTATTGTCCTAAACTGGAAGAAGAAGCGGAGAATTTCGTGTCTAAATGCGATAAGTGCCAAAGATATGGTAACAATATGCATAGACCTGCGGAGTTGCTACATCCGATCATCGCACCGTGGCCTTTTATGAAATGGGGGATGGACATCGTGGGTCCACTATCACAGGCAAAAGGCAAGGTAAAATTCGTACTTGTACTCACTGACTACTTTACTAAATGGGTAGAAGCAGGAGCATTTAAACATGTACGGGAAAAAGAAGTCAGAGATTTCATTTGGCGAAATATCATATGTCGATTCGGTGTACCAAAGGAAATCGTGTGTGATAATGGCCCGCAATTTGTAGGCGCACAAATCACAGAATTTTTTCAAAGTTGCCAGATCAAAAGGATTACCTCAACACCTTACCATCCAATGGGTAACGGACAAGTTGAATCAACAAATAGAGTTATTATCAACAATTTGAAGAAACGATTGGAAGAATCCAAAGGCAATTGGCCAGAATTGCTACCTAGTGTTCTATGGGCATATCGCACCACAGCAAAAACAAGCACGAGTGAAACACCGTTTTCACTAGTGTACGGGGCTGAAGCTTTGATCCCAGTGGAGATAGGAGAACCTAGCACGAGATATACACAAGCAACTGAGGAATCCAATGAAGAGGAAATTCAACTAAATCTTGATCTACTTGAAGGAAAAAGAGAAGCTGCATTAATAAGGATGGCAGCGCAAAAACAAGTTATGGAACGATACTACAATCGAAAAGCATGTCTAAGATACTTCAAGATTGGGGACTTCGTACTCAAGAAAGTTTTTCAATCCACAAAGGCGGCTAATGCGGGAAAATTAGGTCCAACTTGGGAAGGACCTTACAAGATTCATGGTATTGCGGGGAAAGGAGCATACGAGTTCGAAACAATGGATGGTAAGATATTACCTTCACATTGGAATGCTATTCACCTGAAGAGATACTATTTATAAGGAGTACCCACGGGCAAGTATCCTCATTTTAAAATTTTGTTTTTGAATTGTTAAAATTTTACTAACGATTTTAGATGATAGGCAAAAAGTTAACCCGTACTAAATGATGAATCACGACCTGCAAGGCACGTGGAATAGATTAAAATTCCCGGTCTAGGATTACAACTATTCTGATAGAAATTGAGACGGGTTAGCAGTCTTCATCTATAATCGTACCTCCGAGTCCTGTATGTTTTATTCCTTTACATGAAAAGGACCAAACAAGACTCAGACTCAAGAAGACCTCCGGGAATCTTCTGATAAGGTTCAAGCCTGAAAAGTTTACTCATTGAATGAGTCAAGTGCAGAGCAAAGTCACGAGCTAAAGCCAAAGAAAAACCGCATCATAGTTAGGTTAAAGGCAATATACATGTACTGAAACGGGTTATAAATAAAAACCTTGTTGTGTTTTATTTTCTTTTTTGAAAATCTGTTGTAAGGAAAACAGTTACGAAAAATTATAGAAGTTATTTAAATACATGTAAGATGTTATTTAAAGCTTGAGAGAGTTCAAATAAAACTTGTCAAAGTTATTTCAAGAAACATGTGTATTCCTATTTCTTTTGTCGTACATTAACACCATTATGAAATTGAGACGTCTTCTTCATTAAGTGCCGAATATAAAAGAGCCCTCTTTTATAAAATTCATGATTGATTCAAATATTCATGAAGTAAAAAAAAAGCATTTTGCAAAATAAAAATGTAAGTTATCCAATAAGTCCTTAAATATAAAGGCAGGAATAAGCAAAACAGAAGTTCAAGCAATAACAGAAAACTTCTTAATATTTAAAAAGTTTAGACTAAGTATGAACTTAGTCATAAACTAAAAGTTGTTTATACAAAACTCCCCGAAAAAGGTCTTTGGGACTTAATATTTTCAACAAACCCTCAAAAAGGACCAAGGGTTACAACCGCATACCACCAAAGAAAAAAAAGGGAAGTCACATATTATAAATTTGTCACTAAGGAGTTGAAGAAGGAACTGAAGCAGGATCATCATCATCAGCAGGCTCAACTTGACTTGAAGGAATTGGAGCACTCACCGTACCCATATCATCTTCAATATTTTCAGAAGTTTCAGCCACGGGAGAAGGAAAGTCTTGGCTTTGCTGAGTCTTTTCGATGGTTTCTTTTATTTTAGCCAACTCAGCCTCCAAGTTAAAATTCTCTTGGCTAACTTCTACAAGGGTATCATGGCGAGTATTTAAAAATGCCCAACTCACTTCAATTGCGGTTTTATCCTCAAGAATCTCGTAATCCTTTTCCCACTCGGCAATCTCACTTTTAAGTTTCTCATTCTCAACCAAGGCAGAATCATAAGAAATTTGAAGAGAAGCATGTGAACTTTCTAAGGAACGAACCTTATCAGAAGATTCCCTGATGTCTTCTTGAGTCTGAGTCAAAGTTTGCACAAGTTCACCGGCATAAGCTTCTTTTTCACTTAAGAGAGCCTTCAACTCTCTGATTTCTTCGCTAGCCTTGGAGAGTTGCTCGGAAAAGGAAGTTTCGAGAAGACATTTGTCTTTACTAGCTTGATTCGAGGAAGCTCTTTCAACCGCCAACTCCGAAGTTAAATCTCTCAGCTGTTGTTCTAAGGTGCACTTGTTCTCTTCTAACGCTTCCATGTCAATTTGAAGGCTTTCATATTGCTCTCTCCAGTTATCTGCTTCAACTTGGTACTCATGCATCAACTGCTCCGTGTGAGAAACTCTCTTCATCATTTCTGTACCAATGAGGTTGATCAAAAAAAAAAAAAAAGAGAAAAGGTAAGAGCCTTATAAAAAGGAATAACAAATCATTAAAAAGGAATACCTTTAATGATGACTGTATTATGTCGTTCATCAAAGTTAAAGAATTGTGGCTCTCAAGCTTGGCCTTCTCGATTGGACCAATTAGGGTTTCAACCACACGTCAGCCCCACCTGATTTTCTCAAAAGTTTACCATCGGTAGGGACCTCGATGATAACCTGTTTCATGGCTCCACTTCTACTTGAGGAACCAACCTCAGCTTGTTGAGAAGTTGTAGGGGGAATAGTAGAAGGAGTCAAAACAGCTGGGGAGAAGCAGCAACGGTAACAACCACAACTGGCAAAGAAGGTATTGTAGGAGCAGATAAAAGAAAAGAAGCAATGGGTGCTTCATTAGAAATTGGTCCTAAACTTTCACTACCAAACCCGCCGATAAAAAGCTGCTCAACAGAATCAAAGGCAGCAGCAGGGGTATCATCATTAGAAATCACCAACGAGGCTTCAACAGGCTCGGTGAGAGGAGTAGAACAAAGGGGAGATGCTTCATCATCTGAAATAATTCGTCTTCTAGCCCGTGGCCTTTTTATCAAAGAACCCCCGTCTTGTTCTTCTTCCTCCTCAGAGTCTAGACTAAGAGTAGATTTCAGAGGAGAATTAATGGAGGCAAATATTCCGGCTTTAATAAAATCCACTTCCCAAATATTCAATTGATGAATAAATGGCAAGTGGGAGGACTATCTGTATTGAGAAAAATTAAGTTTATATATATTGAAGTGATTGAAAGATGATATGTCATGACACGTAGACTGGTCAAAGAATGATGATCAGCAAAGAATACTTAAAGAGGCACGAGTTACAACAGACACGAGCAGAGACACGAGCAGAGATTCAAAAGACTCGGTGCTCGTACCTATTTACGTTCAAAAGTCAAAGAGAATGAACTTGATAGCAAAAGAGGGTACGGATACAGTATTTAATAGGCAATGATTACTGGAAACGTTAGAGAATCTATATTGAATTATAATGATTACCATTTATAGCGTAGCATTAAATGCCTTTAATTGCCTATAATGGTTTTATTATGACAAAGGCAAAACGTATCTCCTAGAAATAACTATAAAAAGGGGAAATCTGATCATTTGTAAGGACACGAAATACTACTGGAATATACTGATTTACTTCGCTTTCTATTCAACTTTTATTTACATCCATTATTCATATTTCTATTTGATTGTCAGTAACCCGAGTTCTTCTAAAATAAGCTTTGGCTGAAATCCCACTTTGTGGTTAAACAATAATAAGTGAGTGTTCGGACATAAAAATTATGAAATTCCAAAACAAAAAATGATTTTTTTTTCAAGTAAAATTGGTATTTTATAATTAATACAGTTGGAGATGCTTTTGAATTTTTGAATTTTTGTGTGTGATTTGAAGTGAAAACTTTAAAATAGCTTTTCAGAGTATTTTAATTTTCGAATTTTTTTGAAATTCAGCTACAAGTGAAATTTAAAATCATCATGACCAAACACAGGTTCCAAAAAAATAAAAAAATTTTCAAAAAAAGTGAATTTTTTTATGGCCAAACAAGCCCTAGTTATCCTACCCAGGAGATAGTATGATTTAATCTCAGTTTATGATATATTTTTATATTGGGCTTAATTGAAATCAAATATAGAATAAATCTAATCCTAAATTTATACCACCTTAATCCTTATCCCACCATATCACATATACCAAAGGACCCCCTTCTCTTCATTCTTCAACTCGCCACGTTTTTATTTAAATAAATTTTCTACGTATCTACTTTTTTTCGCTTTAAAACTTAGGCAATATAAATGAATGGTGCCACGTAAGAAGGGGCGGGTACCTCGAAACGTGGGAATTATCCAAAACAGTAATCTTTTTCAGTCCGTCACGCAACTGTAGCCGTCGGTGTTGGTGCCCATCACCTCCCTGCGCATTTTATCACCGCTCCCTTCCTTCATTTCCCATTACATTAACATACGAAGATCTCCGATTTCGAGCTGATTAGAGCTGTTTTCTAAGTAAATTAGCTTCACTTTCTGGGATAATCTCACTGCTTAATGGTATTAAGGTTCGTAATTAGCTTGATTATTGATTATGAGGGTTGATTCTTCTTTTTTTTGGTTAGTTGTGAAATTTAAGTTTATTTTTTCTAAGTTCGATTGTTGAGATTTTGAGGCTTAGAAAAATGTTTAGGAAAGTGAAGAAGTAAAAGAGAAGATCTTTCTGAGTTGCATTTTTCTTCGCAAGGCAGAAGTGTGTGGTGTAGCAGTAATGTTGTTTTGGCTGATGCGATATTTTAACTGTTAGATTGTGTTTGGATTTTCTCATGGGTTATGCATTAACTTTTAATTGTGCTTGATGCGGTGTGCCTTAGTCCCATTAGATTATGCCTATACTTTCTGCCCGTTGCGGAGCCATAAATTTATACAAGGTGATTCAAAAAATTGTTAGAATGTCACACCTAGGACTTGAACCTGTAACCTAAAGCAATTTTGAACCCCTTTGCCACTTTTACTAGAATTCTGCCTTATGTCAAGGGGATACAACAATTATTAGCCTAATTCTTTTGTATTTTACATTATTTGCACAGTGTAATTTTTCAACAAACGGGATTCAGTTGAATCCCTTCCCCCTACCTAGTTCTGCCCCTGCTTTCTGCTTGAAATTGATAGGATATGTCAAGGGGATTCAACCGTTCATAAATAGCCTAAAAATATGTCAAGGGGATTCAATAATTTTGCCGCTTTCTGCTTTCTGCTTGAAAATATGTTTTTACATTATTTGCACAGTATAATTTTTCAACAAACGGGATTCAGTTGAACCCCTTCCCCTTACCTAGTTCTGCCCCTGCGTTCTGCTTGAAATTGATAGGATAGATGAGATATGTCGGGAGAGAAGTCTTACTTTAGATATTTCTGTGATCAGAAGCTTTTGCACTCAATTGATGTGAGTACCAGGTGGGTGCGGAGTGCGGACAACCACTGCACCTGCTTATCCTTTGTGACAATGTGTGGAGACTTAGCGTGTGTGTATCATTTTAAAAAGAACTTTAGCTATATTTATGGCAGTGGGTGCGCCTGCCGCTGCCACTGTTGCAAATCCGCCACTGTGTTGGATAGCTAGGACCCATGATGCAGTTAAAGGGGGAGGCTTTCTTTTTGCTTACCGTTGGGCAGGTTGCTTCGTTAATTTGATTTTTGTTTTCCACCTTTTTTTTAGGTAGGGTCTGAAGATAAAGGTTCTTCCCATATGCACTTTAACATTGTAACTTCTGGGTGTTATATCTTTGAGTATATTAGACGATGGCAGCTGCTGTCTCATTGCTGCTGCCCCGCGAACTGGGCATCCAGGGGAAATGTGGATTCACCTGCCAGCCTAAGGTACAATTCGGTTTGTGCATTGGTTTTTTTCTTCTTATACTTTATCAATAGAGTCAATGATTTTCTCAACCTTTTGCTGATAAAACAAGGATGTCCTCAATTCTTGAATTTTTTTGGTTTGTTTGTAGGGCACAATGAGCAGGAGCCAGACAGATTCTTGCAGCAAATTTCTGTCATCACATTCTTCGGTATGCTTTGCATCAGACTATAATTATCACATTCCTTCTTTATTTACACCCCTCCCCATTCCTTTTTGTTCATGCATCATTCAGGTAGCTTTTTGATGACTCACTTTGCTTTCATTATGTTATTGTATATATAGGTTCAACATTTCAGTCTAGGTATATCATGACCTTCTCATGTATTTCAATTTTTTGTTGATCTTATTCCATAAGCAGTTGTTTGATTTTATTCAATTGCATCACTTGAGCATCATGAACTTGACTCCAGAAAACTAAGCTTTATGTACTTGACATGATTTCAATAGCTTTACTAATAAGCTGAGTTCAACAGAAACAACTTGACTTGACTTGAATATGTTCGACTTTGCTTACTTGTTTAAATTATGAGCGGGTCTTGAGCTCAAGTTCATATGTGTTCAGTGGATGAATCGCTTATTTTGCCGTGTGATCAAGATCATAAAGGTTGATAATGTGGAAAGTTTTACGGAAGCCTAAAAATGTGACGTGCTTTTATTGTCTCACCAAGTGTATTTGCACATATCAAGCTGTAGTTGTAGTGTAATGAGCCAATTCGAGCTACAGCTTGAGTTCTCCTGAGTTCAGTATGCTCAAGCTGATATTATTTTAACAATTGAACCACGCTTATTCCATTAATCAGCTGAACTCATCTTGTTTATAGCTCTCCTTATTACTACGACATTTTCCATTTGCCAATTGCCATTTGCCATTTTCTGAATGAGATAAGCGGAGCATTTGCTGCAATCATCCTAACGAGCACGTTCTTAAACTTATAATTAAGTTATGTGGCTATAGATTTATGCCTAATTTATACTCCCTCATTGACACCTTGATATGTGGTATATGCATCTTTAGCGGCAGGACGCGTGGAGCATTTACCTTCTGAATAGTGTACGTGGGCCTTTGTTTTCCCATCCTCCACCTACTAGATGTAATGTATTGCTCTGCCGCGCCTTATTAAAGCCAGGTGGAGGATATGAGCAATTTCTGAAAACAGCAGCACTAATATGGAAAAGGTAAATGTTTCTCTATCTAATATATCTCTTATTCAAGTTGCATGGACATTCAGATCTAGGAGTTTTTAATAATTGATTCCTGTCAACTACTAATGCAACTCCTATCATCAACAGTGTTGCTAGTAATTAAGTAGCATCTCTTTCTCAATGAGGATGAGTTCTTTTTCTCTCTAATCATAATCCATTCTTCAGCCCTTCACAATATAGCCTGATCTTGATTCTCTATCTAATTAAATGTCTGACGATTTTACTCAATAGGTGGAATTATCACTCATGATTATAGCATCCCGCTTGCTTTATTTATCCTCCATCTACATTCCAATATTGAAATGATCAAATTGGTACCTATGCAATTATTAGTTTTATTTTGCAGGTCATTAAATACTATACATGGGAGCCCCCTTGTGCTTCAGCTGGTTCCGGCCGTTGGAGTTCTTGTTTTAGCCGCATGGGGTCTCATTCCATTGATGCGTTTTGGCAGAAAATTTTTCTTTCATGTACTGGCTTCTCTGGACAATCTTTCTCGTTGGTCTGCAAGTTGTCTACATCATCATTGTCCGTAAATTAAGGCGTTTTCTGAAAACCTCTATGCAGGAAAGCGAGAGTAATTGGAAACAAAGCGGCTTGCATTATGTTGCAGATTCCTATCTTAAACCTGTGCTTTTATGGACCGGAGCAATACTTATATGCAGGTTAAATTAAAGTGCAATTTTTAAAATCTTAAACATGTTAAATTTTTGCTTTATAAAACACTCATGCTGCTGGCGTGAACTTTTGCAGAGCAGTGGATCCACTGATTTTACCTTCAGCTGCAAGCCAGGCAGTCAAGCAAAGATTTCTTACTTTTATACGATCATTATCGACAGTGATGGCACTTGCCTACTGTTTATCTAGGTGATATTTTGCTTTCAAGATCTTGTAATATTTGATTTTCTAATGCAGTATCTATTCGTTGGTTTATGGATTTCATTTATCATAACTCTTTTTTTTTTGATAAAGATAACAGTAGATTCATCAACACAAAGCTTGTGTTGGAAATCACAATTACAAAAAAAGAAAGAAGGAAGAGACCTATTTACATCTGTCCAAGATTCTTCTTACAAGGACTCTAACAACTCTAATAAAGTCTCAGTTTCATCTACGCAAAATTCTTTACACCAAAAGTAAAAGGACAAAATACATTGAGCTTAATTTTCTGTAAAGAACTCCTCCTATCTTCAAAACACCTATCATTTCTTTCCTTCCAGACATTCCACCAAATGCATGCTGGTATATCCCTCCACCATCTCTTCTTCCTTCCCCAGCCACCTACATTGTTCCAGCACCTCAAAAGATCGCAAGTAGTCCTGGGCATAACCCAAGTTGTATTCACCAATGCAAGGAATAACTGCCACAACTGAGATGTAATAACACAATGTAGAAAAAAGGTGGCTGTTGTCTTCTTGCTCCGCTTGGCATAGGAAACATCTAGAGCTCAATAGTAGTCCTCTTCTTTGCAGATTCTCATGGGTAAGACAGGCCTTCTTGGCTACTAGCCATGTAAAACAGGATACTTTAAAAGAAACTTTTACTTTCCAGATAAGTTTCCAAGGCCAGAAGCGTTGTTGTTGTCCAGGATTGCATAGAAGTTTGTAAGCCCCCTTGACTGAGAAACACTTGCCGTTGTTCCCTTTCCAGATGATAGAGTCCTCTGCTTCAGATGTTCCTTTGAAAACCTCCAGAGCATTGAAAGCTTCAGTCACTCTTACAATCTCCCAATCATTTAGTGCTCTTCTGAAGTTAAGATTCCATCCCTGTTGACTCCAAACTTCCTGTATTGTTGATTCAGGTTCTACCACCAGACTATGTAAATCAGGGAAGTTGTCTCTAAGTGGCCCATGTCCCAGCCAGTTGTCATCCCAGAATGATACTTTCCTGCCGTTTCCAATAATGAACCCTATCATAGCTCTTAATAGCACCAATGTAGCTTTCTGTCATACTCTTGGTTTTCCCCGTATCTTAATTACTTAATTCCGATTAGTTGCTCTCTGTTTATGATACACGAAGTTCATCTTGATTTTCTTTTTTGGCAGCTTGATTCAGCAAACACAAAAATTCCTTATGGAGACAAAAGACCCCACTGATGCAAGAAATGTATGTTAGAATTATGTATTTAATCCGATCTGTTGAAGCTTGCAAAATTTTTAACCTTGGTTAATGCAGATATGTTTAGAATGAAGCCCGACATAGATTTTTAAACAGCACGTAAAATGCTAATGCTAAACAAGGAAACTAAACAACTGGAAGTACTTTAGTTACCTATTTGTCAAAAGCTTATTGATGCCTGTTTATTGATTCCCTTTTCCCCAAGATCATATTCTTTCTCCAAGAAAGCTTCATTCTTGGCTTAAGTAATATGGATCCAACTTCAGATTAGAGGCTTATGTTAGTCTGGCGGTATCACATACTAGTGTGCAATTGTTATTACACCTTTCCTGTGCATATTAAAGTGACTGCTGAGAATCTTCGAAAGAGGGGAATTACACATGTTAGTTGGTGCTATATGTGTAAAAGCGCAGGGGAAGAAGTTGATCATCTTTTGTTGCATTGCCCTGTGTCCTCGGCTTTGTGGAGGGCGATCTTGAACCTTTTTGGTGTTCAATGGGTGATGCCAAGCACTGTAAAGGAAATGCTATATAGCTGGGCAGGTTTCCGTAAAAGAAGAAAGCAAAAGGCGTGGAAGTTTGTCCCGTTAGCTCTCATGTGGATAGTTTGGGGGGAGAGAAATAGGAGAGCTTTTGAGGGGATTGAGTCTCCTTTTTCACATCTTAAGAATAGTCTTTTATCTTTGATCGCTTTTTTGGCGCACTCATATAGCCCCTATTTGTATAGAAGATTGGGCGTCTTTTGTAGAGAATCATGTTCTAATGTAAATTCTCTACTTTTTGGTATACTTCTTGTATAGGGAGTTTCTCTCCCTTTTGATTAATACAATTTACCTTATCAAAAAAATAAAAATAAAATAAAATTAAAGTGGCCTCTCCAGAAAAATATGCAGCATCATATTTTCTGTTCTGTACCGTGGTTTTTGCTATCATTCGTTGTTGCCTTCTATGACCAAATTCTTATTCTTCAAATATGTGTTTTGCTCTTTCAGATGGGATTCGAATTTGCAGGGAAAGCTGTATATACTGCAGTGTGGGTTGCATCTGTTTCATTGTTCATGGAACTGCTTGGTTTTTCTACACAGAAGTGGTTGACAGCTGGGGGTCTTGGGACAGTATTGCTTACTCTTGCTGGTCGTGAGGTAATCTGACCATTTGTTTTGCATTTCTAAGTGCGTCGAAATGAGGTTTTATACCTTTTCTCTATTTCATTTGGATGTTCTCCCAAGTGGTTGGTTTAGTATTACTTCTGCTTTCATGTTTCCTTTTTTTTTTCTGTCTGGGTAGAGTGCCTGTGTGCCACTTGGATTAGTGCAACTTATATTTTTTACTTCCTTGGGGCTTGTTCAGATACTTACGAACTTCCTCTCAAGCATAATGATCCATGCAACAAGGCCCTTTGTTCTAAATGACTGGATACAGACAAAGATACAGGGCTATGACGTCTCTGGTACAGTGGAGGTAAATCTTAGCTCATGCCACCAATTAGATAATAAGGGAATATACTTTAAATAATGCAATAACAAGAATTATTGCATGCTTGATATGCAAGGATTTGCATGAAGATGTGGTTGGATAACAGCTTCATCCATTTGTGCTGAATCAGCTGAACAGAAAGCTAACTCGTGGTATTGAGCTGTTGTATGACTGCTTTCTTGTTGTTTAGCACGTAGGTTGGTGGTCACCAACAGTCATAAGAGGTGATGACCGTGAAGCCATTCATATACCAAATCACAAATTTTCAGTGAATATCGTCAGGAATCTTAGCCAGAAGACTCATTGGCGGATCAAGACTCACCTTGCCATCAGCCACTTGGATGTGAATAAGATCAATGTCAGTAACAATTTTCTAGTTAGTTAACATATTTTTTTGTATTCTGAAAAACAAATTTTGTTGGCTGATGAGTATTTACATGCCTCTTTCGCGTGCAGAACATTGTTGCGGATATGCGGAAGGTTTTGGCGAAAAATCCTCAAATAGAACAGCAGCGATTACATAGGCGAGTTTTTCTGGATAATGTTGATCCAGAGAATCAGGCTCTTATGGTAGGTCATACCTCTTTACCTACCTCATCCAATTCCTGAAATACAGTGGTAAAATGCATTGACAGCTGTTTGTAATGCAACTAATCATGGTCATGATATTGTTGTCATGGGTTATAAGCTTGACAAATAATAGCCATCTCAAGTTCGCTGAATCATCTATCTTGCGTCGCGTTAGATTTTTAAAGATTCTAATCATACATAAAGAGGAAGGAGTTGGCCAGGAGTGTTCTCTATACGATTATTTTCCTGTATTTGTTTTGATAAAATGCGAGCCTGTTTTTGTCCACTTTCTTCACCCCCCCC